GCAGCTATTGTTCTGAAACTCAAGCTCAACTTGACCTGAAACCAAACAAACTTTTCAGAAGATGGTCGAGATGGATGCCATCACATATTAACCATTTCCAACAACAGCGATTGGGGTACTCGCTTTCGGCAGATTTTTGAAAATTCATTTTAGCCCAAATAAAAGAGGAAAATCTTATGTAAATGGTGAAAGAGGGAAATGAAAAAAGAAAACTCTGAGCGGGGCAACAGAGACAGCGAGAGGGAGCGCACGAGAGGGGCGAGGGCGAAGACAACATTGCAAAGGCAGCTTCGAGTTAAGTAAATTTGATTCAAGGACACTTGACTTGGCGTGGAATCCCTTTGGCTACTTACCCAGCCACCTCCCTACGCCCGTTTCTCCTTACCAGCCCTTCCTCCCCTCGTCTAGTACCATTTGCAAAACGATTTTAATACTTTCTCGCACAAAAGCTACTTAAAGTTTTGCCTTTGCTCGACGCTTAATTCGTTTTTTGTCAACAGCAAAGAAAACAAGCAGCAAAAATAAGAATAAAAGTTTTATTTTTAAATTGAGTTAAGTTAATTTTTTTGCTGCCTTTGTTTTGGCCAAGTTTTTTGTCTGTGGGGGGCGGAAGTTTGCGCTTTGGTTTGCCTAATAAATGTGCGTGCAAACAAAAGCGATAGATAGTCGCAGTACGACCGACAGGCAGAGAGGGAGAGTGTGTGTGTGTGCCAGAGACAGTTGTTGCGACAGCCAAAAGGATAAAGGATAATGACAGCCATTAGTATTAAGTGCGCGTTGGCTACTTTGGAAGCTACTGCTTCACCTCCTCGTCCTCCCACTTTATGTGGGTGCCAGGGATTTTTTCCTGCTCTCTTCTCCCCTTCTGGCCGCTCATTAAAGTTGTTAAGTACTTGGCGTAAATGTGGCTCTAGCACGAAGGGGGCTGGAGCTAAGAAAGAGCCAACTCCAGGGGGATTGAGGCACCACTATTAAAGTTAATTTAAATGCGCCTCAAGCGCCTCCACTTAATTCGTTCAGAGAACTACACAACTTTCCCCAACTTGAACTACATTTCCAGAACATTTCCATTTATACTCCAATTATGTCCACACACAAGTCAATGAACTGAAACAACAGATTGTAACACTATATTCAACCGAACCTGTTCACCTGTTTCGGCGCACAGAACAAAAGCCACTGGCAGCATCTAGGTGAAATTTCCCTGGCACAACCAGACAGCATTCGACCACAACTTGAGCTCCAATTTAATTTCATTCTGTGATACAAAGGCATCACCGAACAATTCACTCAAAAAAAGTGACATAAGCCAGGAATATGCGTGGATAGGGCTGGCATTTTTGGTATTTTCTCTCTCACATCTTTTTGTTTTCACAGGTTTTTATGTACCCTTACAAGCAGCAGAAGCAGTGTAAGAATGGGATTGGAATGTACATGTATGTAGATTAGATGATTCATTGCAGCATTTGCTCAATTTAAACCATATGTGGGGATAGAACACTTTCGACACTTTCTATTTATCTTTCTACCATCCAATCTGTTGTCATATACTATTCATCTGCACTGTAATGTAAGGGTATTTTATTATCAACTTGTTTCATATCACTCTCAGTGATTCTCTTTTGTTGCATGTTTTTTGTTTGGGATTCTTTATGACGTGCAACAAGCACGCCACATTTGCGTTCAATGGGCATGAGATAATGTCATCATCAACGTCGTCGTCTTCATCATTCATCTTCCGTCTGACGCGACGGTTCTGGTCAGGTGAAAACTCTTGATGAGGAGGGCCAGACCCCAAGGGAGAGAGACAGACCATAGTTCTTGTCTCTTGTCTCTTGTCCCATGCTCACTGGCATTTTGTTTTCAAGAAATTGCATTCGTTTAATGGGAATTGCATTTTTAATTAATTCTGCTTTTTGTCCCCCATAATGGATGTGGTACATAAGTGCATGGCACGGAAGGTGGGACAAATTAAAGATGAAAATGAATGAGTGCAGAAAAGAGAATTATAAAAAAAAGATGAAAAATTGTGTGTTAATTGATTGATTGATTGATAGGTATATGTCCTAATTATTGAATCATTAAGCTTTCACACGGACATTAAAAATGAAGGATATCAGTGTGGAGTGGAACCCAATTTACTTGATAATAAATATGTTTTATATTCGATATTCGGAAAATGTAGCGCTTGTATATTATGAAATTAATTGGATATTGCATTGCTGTCCACCACAGAGTACCATAGAAATTGTATAAAGATTTCAGCAATAATTATTTGAATGATTTATAGACATTTTTATTGATTAGCATATTCTTAATTTGTTGAACAAAAAGTTTCAAATGTTGAAAATTTAATTTACATTCTCTATGACAGCCTGCAGAGTGCTCGTAATTGCACCTCCCGCAGAAAGAAAACTTGTTGTCTCCATATTTTTTTTCTATGCAATTAAATGTATATTTCCCGCAATGCCTCATCCACGCCGGCATCGAGATATATCCATCGAGATATATGGCACAATTTGATGCCAATTCCCAGCCTCCCTTTTGCTCTTCCATCGTGTGTGATATTGTTTTCATTCTATTTTATCTTTATTTTACATTATTTCCATATTCATTTGATTTTTTATTTATGCGAAGCTGATGAGTCCTTTTGATTTTTTTTACGATTGACGTGTTCGCTTTTGTTTTTTTTTATATATTTGCATAAACTGTATACAAGATTTTCACTTTGATTTGATTTCACATCGTGAAAAATATATTTTTCTCATTTTTTTTCACTGTCAAATATTTACGAAGAGTTTTTCAATTGAGGAATAATTCTGAAACGTAAAGAATAAAAAACAAACCATGTAGTTGTAATATTTTTTTAAATGGAAACGTAAATATGATGGTCACCAATTTAATAAAGTATATATCAATGTTTACCCTGAATGATTTTCTTTTTTCCAAGGCAATCTCACTCGTCACGTATACGTTCCCCTGTTTTTGCAAAGGAAAACCTGTGCGGCATATTAATTATTTATAATTATTGTTAATTTTGAAAGCAACTAACCAACCAAACAAAAAACAACACGAAAAAATTGGGAGAACAGCACGAAGAAAAACCACAAAGAGAACCTCAATTAAAATTCAAATTAGAGCGCTTGGGAAATTTTCGTTCTGGCTGGCGGCAAGAGTGCGAAAACTTAAAACCGCAGGGAGGTGCTGGTGCCCAGCCAGCACTCCCCCTCCCTGAAATCTCCCTCCAACCCACAAAACTAACTGCCTAAAATGAAATATGAACCCCAGGCACTGCTCCTGGAACACAGGAAGGATGATGAAGGCGGGTGGCGCAGGGGTAACTGAGGAAAAGCCAACTTCGTCAGCCATGGACTACTAATAAGAAATTTGTGAACTTTGCAAATTTGCCATCATTAATTCTGAGGCGGGGAGCTCAGTGCAGGAGCGGAAGGGAGAGGAGGGGTATGACTGGCTCGGAAAATTGTCGAACAAGAACATTTTTCATTTGTCGTCGTCGTCGTCGTCCTTTTTGTCACTGTTGCCCCTCGTCATTGTATAATAATTGTCAAGCAATTTAAATCGAAGCTTGGGGCATAATAAATTGTCATATGGCAGGAGGCATGGCCACGCCTTCACAGCCTCCGCGTGGCAGTCCGGACTTAAAGGAAAGAGAAGAAAAAAAAAATAAGGTAATGAGGAAACGGAAATTGCTGCCGGAAGTCGGAGCCCAGGCAGGAGACGGAAGCTCATTTTGCAATATTCACAGACGACTGATTTCGATTTCTAGCAGCGCCTTTTTCTGTGCTTACACCATGAATTGTAAATTGAGTGAGGGCCCCCAAAAGAAAGTCCTGCAACTTTCGTTTGTCCCGCTTATAGTCATCATTAATAATAGTGGGCGAATGAAGGAGAAGGAGTGAGGAAAACTGATTAAGGGAAATACTTTTGAGTGTTGCTCTTTGAGCCATGCCAAGGGCAAGCCCTAGAGGATACAAGAGTTTCCCCCGTCGCTATATCAAATGCAATATTTTTGAGCTGACCTTCTGCTATTTCTTTGGTTGCAGCCTGGGCGCTCCGGTCAGTGCTGACAGTGTTTAGGTTTTCCTTTTGCACCTCAAGAATTTACCATTTCCATTTCTTGATTTAGCTCAGTTTTCCTTGACGTTGCTCTGGAATTTTCCTGCTTTAATGCGGGGCAATGCAATGCCTCTCTGAAGAGCCACCAAGGGCCTGAGCCGTTTGTCTGCCAAGGCAACAAAATGGTTGCGCGAAAAGCTTCTAGTAAATGCTTCCACGTTGCCAAGTTCTCGTTTGTGAAGAGCTGTTCAAATAAGCACGAGCACGAGCATGGGCACGCCAGCAGCAGCCAGCAGTAAAAACAACTAGAGGAAAGGCAGCTAGCAGGTGGGTTAGGGACAGGTACGGGGTCAGGGATACGGATAGGTACAGGGACAGGAGCTGGCTGACGTTAGTCTCATTGTTGACATTCGCAGGCAACGGCAGAGCGGTGCGGCTAAAGGGTAGCTGGAAAAAAGGCAACAAAAAGCAATTAACTTGGCTTACATCTTTGTTGAAAGTGGAGACTCATGGCGCGATTTATGCCGCCGGCACGACGGCTCCTGGTACAGGTGTGGGTGAGAAGAAGATGCTGCAAGGCAGCCACCCTGCTGCGACCCTCTGTCTTTTCCCCTTGACTTGGCTAACGAAACAAAAGTGAAGCGTGAATCTCGCACAATGATAAAAGTTAATGGCTTGCCCCACTTCAGGGGTTAGATCTCGCTTTGATTCTCTGGCAAATTGTGAAGGCATTAGAGTACCCAGTAGTAAGTATAGAGGAAGTGTGGCACGTGCCACACAGTTGAAATAATATTGAATATTGAATCAAAATGGATTCAGCTTAAGATGTCCCAAGTGATTAACTCTTTTTTCTAGCTTTGAAAGAAGTTCCCAGCTCCCAATAAAAATCATATTCAAAAGCGTTTTTCGTTTTTTTTTTCAGCTTTCTTTCTTTATTTCCTATGTTTTGATTTCGGGTATATAATCTCTGCATTTTGAATTCTGCCTCTATTGCCATTACGGTACAGAACCACCCTCCAGTGTACAAGTATTTACTTTCAATGCACATTTCAACCGCTGACTCAAATTGCATTTGTTGGCGCTTTTTTATTTGATTTGATTTGATTTATGCTTTCGCCTGATCAACATGTCAACATGTTTGATTTAAATTTGCATTTTTATTTTCATTTTCCAATCGATTTCCCTTTGATTCGATTTATATTTGCGCATTTTTGTTTCGCTACCAATTCATCGTAATACATAAATATTTCTGCTACAAACTAGTCGGGTGTTTTCCACTCCGCTTATTCAAATACAAGCTTAATGTTAATGAATTAATTTTAAGCCCTTTGCCATTGCTCACGTACGAGTTGTAGGCCTAATTGGTTTTTGGTTTTTCATGTATGTTTGTATTTGCGGCTTACCAATATTAAATATCAATTTGTTTTTGTTTTTGTTTTGTTTTTCATTTGTTTTTCATATCTTGTTTGCTCGATTCGACTACAAAAGAAGCTCATTGCGTGTTCTTGTGTTCATACTATATATTTATTCATTTAGGGGTTTCAGCTTTAAGCCGGGCTTTTGTCTGTTTTGAAGCTAAAGCGCAGAAATTTATGCTACACACATAGAAGGACACGCACACATCCACAGAACAGCATAGTAGTAGAATCTAGACATTTGGGGTACATCCCTATGCAATAGTGTGAGTGTACGCATAATATATAGAACAGTTTTCAATAAAATAATTCCCAGTTTCTCGGTGTATTTCCTAATCAAAATGGACTCAAATATTTGCACATAATTCATTGATTAATATTTGTATTTCTATATAATTCATGTTCATGTTTATGTTCAGGATGAATCTGGCAGGTACCTGACACGTAAATATCAATTAGATGAGGATTGAAGTGGCGGGGTCGGAGTGTCTGAAGCAAATAAGATATCCATGGGGGATTTTCTGGAGTTTTCCCCCATTTGTCGCTTGCGTGTAAAGCGCCTAAAAGCGAGCTATGCGAACTACGGCAAAAATGTTATTGTTGTATATGGAATACAATTATATATAAATACACAGATATACATATACATATACAAATACATATATATTCGCAAAAAGGTTCAGCCCTACACACATAGTATACACATACAATATATAGATTTCGTATAGATTCATAAAACTCTAGCTTGTAAATATTTGTTGAATTTTAAACTATGCATTCCTTAAACTACATACATACAGTTTTTGGTTTTTAATTTTTTGGTTTTCTCTTTACCTATTTAGCTTTGGTTTTCATTTATTTGTTTTTAACACTTAGGGTTTTTTGGCAACTGGAGCTTTGGCCTTGCCAATTGTTCCTTGGCAATTTGTGCGCCAAAAGACTCCAATTATTGGACGAATTGTTGATATACGTTGCGTATTATGCTCAAAAGTGAGTGGATGAGGGGACAGAGCGACAGCACAAGTGAGTGGGGGTCAGTGGGTTGGTGAGTGGGTCGGTGATTGGGTGAGATAGATACTCGTAGAGATAGTGTGGCTTAGGCTAAGCGTAGAGTGAACAGTGCAAACTTTGGACTGAACTTCAAGAAATGATTGCGGCCACTAAGCAGCACCTTTTATGGGATTTAATTTTATTAAAGAAATCATTTCCTGATGCTTAGTGGCCGTTGCCATCCCTTCAAGCTGTTGGCTTGTTTGCTGCTGTTGTGTACGCGCTGCGCTTATATTTTAAAGCTTAAAGGCAATAAGTTGCGCAAACATGGCCGTTTAAGTACATATAGTAAGTATGTATATCGTAGAAGAGAGTACCCAGCCATCACACACACACACACACACACACACACGCACTCGAGCACTTTGGCACACATACACATGCACACTTATGTAGGTGCCATGCCCCTAGGGGAGCACTCACAATCACATGCTTCGACAAGCACAAGTTTCAATTTGTTGCACTTTTTTGAGGCATTAAGTAGCTGCCCAAGCTCAAGTGCTGCAACTGTATGAGTGTGCTGCAGCAACTCTCTGTGTGTGTGTGTGTGTGTGTGAGTGCTGGCTAAGCGGTTTAGTTTCATTTGGCATTTAACAGTTATTTTTTCATGCGTTTTTTATTTTATTTTGTATTTTATTTTCGTAGTACACAACACTGAAAGCACACATAGAGTTTTTCGGTTTCGATTTCGGTTTTTCTGCTAAATTTTCGCTGGCATTTCTCTAGAACATTTAGATAAAAATACAATTTACTCGCTAAGTACACAGAAGTGAATTCCAGTCGTCCCTTAAATAGAGGCTGAGACTCTACACCTTCTGCTTGAGCTTTCGAGCTCACATCTAAGTTTTCTCTTGAAAAACAAGCTTGAAGACTTTCCATTGGATACGAGTTTTTAATAGCCAAAAAGTTTGATCGGTCATTGTTTTCAGGACACTGCTAAAGGTGTATTTCTTTTGATTTCGATTTGAGATTGCACAACAATTATTTCACACTACTTAACTGCTAAAAACTTTACAAAAATCGGGATAGTTTTTATTTGTTTTGATCAAAATCTTAACCAAATACCGGATCACAATCACAAATATGTGTGGGGGTGGAAAGGGGTTGGAGTTGGATGTAGGGAAAGGGAGGGGGTACCTTATGATTTGCTCAGATTGGACGGCGATGGCGGCCACTGCCGCTTGATGACGGCAAAGTGAGTCATCTGAAAGGTGTTTGTCAGCTGGCAGCGTCGCTCTACAAAGCCGGTGAGGCAATAGCCCATGTTGTAGTCCTCCATCGAGATGTTTGACGTCAGATACAGCTTGAACTCGTCGTTCCACGCGGGCTGTGACTTGTCACAGCCATTGGATCTGGTCCGAGAGCCTGTTGTTGCCGCTGAAGTTGTTGTTGCTGCTGCTGCAGATGTTGGAGTGGCAGCCACAGTTCCGGATGCTGCTGCTGCCGATGCCGATGCCATTGGCGTGCTCCTGCCAAAGTGTCCGGCAATCAGCAGGGAGCCCTGCTGTTCCAGTGGCAGCATTCGTGCCTTTGTCGCCCGACGCTGTGTGCCGGCGCACTCGACAATGCGGCAGCGATTGGGCTGCCACCAGCAGGGCGTGATGGTCCAGTAGCTGGACGAGGCAGTGCGCGCCCAGCCCTCTTCAGGATAAAGCAATATCTGCAACGAAAGATGAATGCGATTGAGTCAAAGAGGAATACAGAGAGGATGCACAGAGATGCCTAGAGAATGAGCCAATCGCAAATTGGTTTTCCGTGTCGCACTTTAATTGAAAATCGTAATTAAAATCGTGCAAATTGTTTAGCCATGATTTAGATTTGGTTTCAGTGGGATCCAATCAGCCCGCACACACCTTAATCGACTCCAGTCCGAAGTGCTTCTCATTAAGTGGACAATCATTTGTGGAACGCTTAATTTGGTCAAAATAAATGGGCATTAAATGAACATGGAATTGCTTTTGACGTTTTTATAGTGGCATATTTCGCACACGCACACACACAAAAACAGTGTGACCTGACTAAGGTGCACCATTTATGGATGACAATTTCCACAAATACATATGTCTGAATATTTCTAATCCCATCGCACTTACTCCATTTGGAATTGTTATTTCTTCTACGCTTTCGATTTCAGGGGTTTCCCTGTTTAAATCCTCCCACATATTGTATATTTCTTATCGCACTGACATTTTGCCACCGCTGCAACCGCAACGGGAGTGCCACTGCAACAACTGCAGCACCAGCAGTCTGCCAACTGCCACGTGTGGCATATGGTGGCTTTATCAACCGAAGGCCATAAACAAAATTCGTTAGTTAGTTTATCATTTGCTAAAATGCCAATCGAATCCCCAGCCCCATCCCTAGTCCCAGCCTCAGGCCGCAGTCTATGGCGCTAGGCGTTTTTGTGTGCGGTTGTGGCGGCCACTGAACGCTTCTGGTTTATAATTAATACACTCCACAACTATTTAATGCCAGACATTCCAAATATTTGTGCACAACGAGGCGTATGCTTAATAAGCGAGAGGTATGCACAGAGCGAAAGCGAGCCAATCAAACGCTGAACCTGGCTTAAAGGCTGCTCGGGAAATCACTGAGGGGAAATCGCAGGAAAAACTCCAAAGAATACTTCAGCAAAAGAGAAATAATGCAGAAAAGAACAAGAGAAAGGAGAAGGCGACCAATGGCCAATGGCCACCGCAGGACTATAACCCGCACCCGGAGCAGAACCGGGTCTGGCAGCAGGAGCAGAGGCCGCGTCAGCAGATGCTTTTGAAATTGAAGTGGCTGCAGTTGCAACCACGGGGCTTGCCCCCAACACGCTCTCGGGGGTCTATGTTCCTCTTCATTTCTCTTTTCTTTTTCGGACTTTCTACGCTTTTTCCTGGTCTGTGGGGACTTTAATATATATAAAAAAAACTCTTATATATGCTCGCTGGTTGGCGGTTGGCGCGTGTGGCCCGTCCCAGGTAAACTGCTTTAAATGAATGCCCCACAGCAGCGCTTAAAAATGCATCAATTTGCCCTTTATTCACGCTTAAAAACACTGCCAGGCCAAAAACAATGCCCCGGCAGATGCGAAGGAGAATGTGAATGCAAATGGAAATGGGGTAAGCTTCGCCCGACACGGCACATTAAGTTCGAAATGAAAATCCTCTTCACCATTAATGAAAATTAAACGATTTTCGAGAGTCGATGGCTCTGAATAAATACGAACGGGCATGTACAGGGGCATTCTTTATAAAGAGCTCAGGGTCTGATTTTATGATTTAAATATATACATATATATATATATTAATTTGCTAGATTTATATGCAGAGGAGCAGAATAGGGTATGATATAGGGAAAACCAAAAACGGTTGATTGTTCATTCTCCATTCATTAGTTTTTCATTTCATTACACTTTGTTCAACTTCATAAATCGTTCATAATTCTCAATTGCAGATGAAAGATCAAATTTGCTGCAAAAATCGTAAAAGCTTGGGACAATTACCATCGGAGCTGCCATCGTCTGTCTGCAAAGATGACACATAAATCGGGCTCCTCCAACTGCCCTTGGGGCTTAGTCAGCGCACGTGCTGTATATTTGTCAACTTGCTTCACATGCCACACTGACGAGTGGTGCCATGGAGATGGCTTCATATCTTGCAAATTGCGCGCTCGTGTTTGAAAATTATAAAAGAAAATAGCGAAAAAAAAATTGAACAAACCTTCCGCAGCAAAGTTGTGGCCCCACCTGTTTTGGGATGGGATCCTTGACTCTGCATGAGTTACAGGGCTGCCCTAATAAGCTGCCAAAATACGCTAACTGAAGTCAAATAGAAGGAGTGCAGGAGCCCCATTGCATTATTCAAAGCTGCCAGAAGTGCGCGCTGCGAAATTGAAAATGCAGTGGCAGTGGCAGTGGCAGCGACGACCGACCAATGCACGCAACAAATCGCTTGCCACTATCAAGGGTCATAAAATCCTTCACTGCCACCCGTTTTCCGCCGCACGTTCCACATTTTGTTCGATTCCCTAGCACCGAGTACCCTTATTGGGTGAGGGAATTGGATTTGTCAGAGATGGGCGAAAAAAACATAACCAAATGGAGTGACAAAAATCACCGTGAAAAAATAAATATCAGTGAAAATATTTAAAATGCTATTTGATTTGCAATTTCTTGTATTTAATCATTCTTTTTTTTTTTAGTCTTAAATATTTTATTTTCTTTGTTATTTAATCAATTAATTCTCTCCCAACTGTGGGTATTGGTTTCTATTTGGTATTTCTATGATATTTCTAGCATTTATTTTGGAATTCGTTAGCATCCCCTGCTAGAATCCACATCAAAGTAACAATTCACGCACACACTCCCCCTGAAGATAGACATAGGGAGAGAGAAAGAGAGAGAGAGAGTGGGACACACACGTACACGCTGGAAAATCACTTCCGCTTTTGAGCTGCAACGTTGGCAATTTCGCAGCCACGGGGCTAGGAAACCATAGGAGTGGAGAGTAGAGTGGCGAGGAGAGGAGATAAATGGGTCGCGGAGCTGTGGTGCATAGAGGGACCCCACTCGTGGAGCAACGGGCATCAGGTGGCGAACGTCGAATGGTGGCGCAATCGAAAACGTGGCACAGAGACTGGGTCGTCGATTCCTTGGGCGCTTACTTGAGGCGTCCATAATCGATTTCTGGCACTGGCTTCTTTCGTGAAATCGTTTGTTGACTTTGGGTTTTTTATTGCGTGCCATTTTATTGCCACCACAAGTCTCCATCCTACCCGATGTGGGGATCCCCGGGTTGGGTTGGCTTGTGTTGGTTTGGGTTGGGTGACCCTTATTCTGGCTTGGCTTGCCAGCTTCCTCGGTAAATAAAAGTGCTTGGGTTCTTGCCTGCTTGTTCTGGCTGGCTGCCGCCATTGTCAGCAATTGGCAACTTTGTCTATTAATTTGCTTAATGAGTTCAATGACAAATATTGAACGGCTGCAACTTAACAAATAGCTGCCAAGTTTCCCAGAGCCCTCAGACCGGAGCTGAGGGGCAAGGAGCACGGAGCATGGAGCATGGAGCCCTGAGCCGGCACAGAAACTTTTCTCATTTCGTTCGCCCGTTCGCCCTGGCTCGACGTTAATTAATTAAGTGCTGCCGCAGACATTTCAACACTTTTACCAGTCAGTCAGTCGGTTGGTCGGTCCATCAGTTCGTCGGGCTGGCAGTCAGTCACTCAGAGCGCGGCCCGTCAGTGAGTCATCGACTCACTCATTACTTAGGCAAATTGTCTTTGTATCTGTTCCTCATGTACAATATCTCTGGGCACTTCAACTTAATTACCCGCCTTATAAGTATGCTGCCGACAGCCCGGATAGACAGAGGCTCTCGATTCCAGCATAAGCTTGAAAATCAAAGCTTCAACACGATTGTCTAAGCACTCGAAGAGCACTCACCCACACCCTTCCGCAGGCACTCAGAGGCTGGCTGGTGCCACATCCCTTAACGAACATTATTATGGAAAGAGGGGGAGGGGTGGCGAAAGTATTGTGGCACAGCTGTAAGGAAGGATGGAAGGAGATTAAGGATAGTCAAACAGTTTGCGGATCATATTTCCAGATTAAGAGTTTCGCAATTGAGACACGAGCCAAGCCGTAAAGATAAAAAATCTATGGAAAACATTCACTAATATCAACTTTCCATTTGGCTACATGCTCGTATTACTTGCCTTTTGTATCAACAAGACATTCCCTTGCCATTTTCTAACCTAAGCACCGTGGAAAGCATTGAATTTCCATTGACTTACAGAACAACACCTAGTCGATCAATAATGTTAAGAGTCTTCGCATGGAGCAGAACTTTTGTTTCATTCATTCTGGAGCGTGCCTTGAGCAAACTTCCGCTTGGAGTTCCTTACGCCATTCTTAGGTGTACGGAAAAGCATTCCATTGCAGGCGTGCTGAGATGGTCGGAAATTGAAGTTTTCCTTTGGTATATTTTCGAGAGCGTAAATGAGTTTTTGTAAAACTTATCTGCTGGCTTCGGTGGGCTTTGTTTTCAATTGGCAATGCCAATTGTATCTGTTATTTCTGTTTGAGTTCACCCAATTCTATCCTTTTGCCAGAGTCCTGGATCATTCTGGTGCCAGGACAGGGCTCAATGGCTCGACACCGACCGTGTCGGCGTGGGTGCTCAGAAAGGAGAAAGGTTGCTACAAGTTTTAATAAGTTGCTCATTAGCACAGAAAATGAGGCCGGCGAGGCGGCAACAAGACAAAATAATTTACACGCCAACATCCGTTGCAATTAAACTGCAAAAGGGAAAACTTAAATTTCAGGCCAAGGCGCACTGCCTTTGGCATCTTTGGTGTCTTAGCCAGGACCATGCCCGTGGCCGTGCCCCCGTATCTTGGCCAAGTTTATGGCTTGCTCTGTAAATGGAGATGTCAACGGATGCCGACAGAGGAAGATGCCATGGTTCAGGACGAAACGAAACGAACGAAACTTTTCCTTAGCCCAACTTGTGCCGCGAGTGCTCGTATTTTCTAAATTTAATGAGTTGTATTACGACCAACTTAAAGAGGAGTAGCTCTCTGTGGCAGCCACAGCTTGGTGTAAACTTATACATGGCAAAGTTTGTGGGTACCGCCTCCGGATCTCGCTGCCCGCATGATGCCACCTCGCCTTGTGGC